AATAAACAGGAAACTTCTGCTCAATTCTCTGTGCTTTATTGCTCAGTTTACTATTTCCTCTCCTCTGAGTGAACCCAATTTTCTAATTTAAATTCTCTTAACTCTTCTTCCGCTACACATCTGCCACTCCGTCAAACTTCAAGTTTTTGTTACAAGAACAAAAACTACTTAACTGTGCTAGGCCCTCATGCTTTCAGTTTGGTTTCAGCTGTACTTCGCATTACAGTATGATGAATCTGTCCAAATTCTATTGTTAAAATTTCCTGTGTAAAAGAGAACTTGCACGGAAACTATGCAAAACCAGTAGCTGGTTTGCAGTGGAGCACCAAATTAAGGCAAAACTGCACAGCTACAAAGCGAAAATTGTAAAAAAGTCTTAGCAGAAAAAACAATTTAAGTACATAGATAAGTAATTCAGTGAATAGATATGAGCATCTTTTTTTTAAAACCAGGCTATGACAGAAATGCCTTTAAAATTACCATATACAGCTTCTCAGAGGGTAAAATAAAGGTCTTTTCAATCATTCGTTTTGACCCCAATAGACAGGGAAGCAAAACGAATGCACAGTTTTGAAAGTTGCATCCATAAATTGTCTCATTTCTATCTATATGAAATGGAAGAAAAACGAATATCTGTTTAGACATGTACGTAGGCTCACCATCAAAATGACACCCATATAAAAAAAAAATCTCTTTTGAAAATGTTACTTGTAACTCTATGGGATTATACAGTGTTTAATGCCAAACAAGAAATCTATGCAGTCAGAATTAAAAATGTACCACTGCCCTCAACCAGCATCTCATCTCTCTCAAGCAGCAAGAATTCATGAACATTTTAATGGTGCTCAAATACAGTCTACAATTACTGGGATATTTAGGAGGCCGCTGGCTTACCAGTCCCTTTATATACTACTGGGGACTTATCACTATAAAACATTGTATGCATAAGTAATGTTGCAAAGTGAGTGATAATGCAGACTGTTAAAAAGATTGAAACCATAATTTCAGATGACATAATAACAAGATTAATGAAGGACCAGAATTAATCTGCTTAGAAGGGGAAAGACAGGCAAAATAACATTTTTGCTAGCATATTTTTCATTCTTAGTACTTTTCTCCCGTCAGTGTTTGGGAAGAGCAAGATGCTTTAAAGGTTTTGCCATCCGTTGCTGGTTCCATGTACCCGTAAACTTTTCTTTACTCTTTACAGTGTAGCAATTCATTTTTCAGTTTACTGTCTACCGCTTAGCACAGCGACCTGCTGTATGCATTTCCCTCTCCCGGCTGAGATCGGAAGTCCCCAGGGGCCTCTCTACAAGCAGCTGCAGAGACGTACGTTTGCTACATTCGTGGGGCACTGAGCTTCCACAATAAAGCTCATCTCTCCAGTCACTGCTTTTCAGCAAGGGCTGTATCCTTAGGCACAGCACGTGATGAATGCATCTGTGGAGCCTGTGAGCCAGCTCTAGCTCACTGTGGACCAGAAGGTATGGCCCGGCCGCTCCCACCTGTAGCACACATGGACACCTCCTGAGGCACGGTGACATTGTGCTAGAGAAAGTAACATGGTTCTTAGGATTAGGTCTAAAACAAGAAGCTGTTTATTTTTAGCATCTTTTTCCATCAGATCAATGATGTCAAGGTCTAGTGAGGAGGAACTGAAGTAAAAAAATGATTTTGTGGGATTATAGAGCAAAAGTATCACCCTCATTTCAGAAGTAATCCTCGGTTATACTCAGATCCAAATTCTCAATCCAGTCTTGGATGTTACTTCTTCACCTGAGTTTTCTTCTTAATACCATTCCTCAGTTGGTTCCTATTTTCTTGTCCCAATTTGCCAGTGAACAGAAAGCCTACTTTTACATGGCCTGTTTTATCTTTCTTTATTCAGTCCTGACTGTAACCACGCAAAGTCACAGCACCAACACGAGAAGTCAGTGAGCACCATGGGAACTCGGTGTAGAAGGACTCACTTTGGCTCATCATCAAAACTTGTTGGCCCTTCTCCAGGCCAGTATAAACCAGCAGTAAATCCCATGCTTTGCAGTCTGAACCAGTGGTTGAAGTTTTAAGCCCTCGGTCACTGCCTGAGGTGCACCTTTCCTCCGGTATTTATTTCTTAATATGGCAAGCTGGCTTTGTACTCCTCATTTTATGTTTTTTCCCTTTCCTTCATCACTTTCCATTTCCACAGGCAACACCCACAGCCTGATCTTACAGTCTTCTCCTTTGCTTTCCAAAGGACTGCAGGGTAACAGCTACGTTTACAGGACGTTTGGCTCTAACTACTTGGACCGCTTAACTGCCTTAATTACTTTAACTTTTAACTGGTTTTACTCACACACTCATCCCCAAGCAGACTTCTACCTCGGAAGAGTTAGCGCAGTTAAGTATTTAAGCACTTTCTCCTGGCTGAGGATGCTATGGCTGAAGGGTTAAGGAGATCATGTAAACAGCCGTGTAATTCGGAGCCCATAACTTTAACAGCATATTTGCAGTTACGTGCTGGTCATTTTACATATGTTTTGTTGGTACGTGCCTCAGACAAGCTCAGTGTTGGTATGTGCCTCAGACTTGAAAACTATTTAAAAAACATTTTGCCACAGAAATGCGAAAATGCTTCCCATATCACATTTTGCCTCAGAAAGGTTCTACTCCTACTACAGAACTCCTCTTTTAGTTTGCTAAAAATAGTCTTTTCAAGAGACTGTGTGCTTTAAAGTTTGTTCCAGTCTTGCCAAGTAATTTTATCTCTCTCAGTAAGTCTCTTTTGAAGCACAACCTGCAGAGAAATAGCGTCTTTTTCCTTACTTTGATGGTTAGTTTCTCACTCTATTTTGTTGTTGAATCCTGTGTCCTTAAGAATGATGTTTCAACCGTACTACAACACTTGTAAATAGGGGAACTATGAGGAATAAGACCCAGAAAACCAGATATCTGGCATATATGTGAAAATCCAGAGAAAATAAAGAACAAATACCACCTGAAGAAGAGCATAAAAATGAACAAAGCCAAGATCTTGCAGCCTGGTATCATTCTTTTAAGGAGATGGTGTATTTTAACACAGTGATTGCAATGCTGCTTGTCTCATGGTTTTCATCCAGCTGCCCTCACTATCTCCAGTGGATCCTCTGCCCCAGCGCAGCTCCTCCAAAGGAGGAGCTTTGTTATACATCATCCTGATTTGAGACTCCAAAATACACTTTACTTCAGGAAGAAATTTAGTTTCCACTCTTTTAAGAGCTAATGGGATCTGGCTGGCTTTTAGTAATGTCACCTGCTTCTGCTTTTAATTTTTTTGGAACGATAACACAACTTCTGTCCCTCCATTTCAGTCAGATGTAACGTAGGCATTTCTGGTTAATGCGAGCAGGATCGCACATCACCTGATAACATCCATGTACACTTGGCACTACGGTACTCCTGTATAACCAGCATATACCGGTGCCTTAGTTCACCGTATAGAAAGCCTGTCGTTTCCCAGTTCTGCAGTCAGCGGCCAAATATAATGCTCACATTTAGCTGATGCTGCTGGTAATTCTCAAGCAATCAAAAAGTATGCCAGGCGTATGGAGCCAGTGGAAGTGAATCTTAGTTCAATTAACTGATGCCTCGATCTCTCCTCTTAAAACAAACAGTTCTTTGTTATAAAGCGTTGTTAATTTTTGCCATTGGGAAAGGCCAGGCATATCCTCACTGGCAACACTTCATAGCTGAAAACCATACAGGGTAAAAGGGATCATTCGCCATGACCTGAGCAGGTGCTGGTCCGAGCTAACTCAGTATCCATGAACCACCACCTCCTTTATGGTGACTCAGCAGTCAAAGGGGCTGGACGTCCGATGGTTTTCTCTTCGAGCTTCCCCAGGAAATCTGACTTGCCCACGGGGGCAAAAATATATCTTTGGAGACCCGCATATTGCCACTAAATTTCCTCCTAGATCTTTCTTGTCTGACAGTAGTGTGAAAGGCTATTCAATAAAAGGGAAATTTCCATCAAAGGCAGCAAAAGTACCCACTCTGATTTTATCTTTTTGATTTCATTATTAGATTTTTGGGTAGTGAGGAAAATGTTCCTCTCATTTTCCTTTCCTACAGTTCTTCTCTGCTACCACTGAGTCTTCCTTTTGCTGAAAATCCTGCAGCTTATTCCTAATATTACCATTTTAAGGTTAAAAACATCTAAGATAATTACAGAGAAGCTGAGGAGATTCACATGGCAGGATTAAAAATATCAAACTTTAAGATCTGTATGAGAGGGTTAAGGCTTATGCTCCTAGAAAAAATTTTTTTAAAAGTGAGGGAATATATGATTTGAAGTTTTTTAAAACTGGATTTTTTTTTTGTTGGTTGCTGCATTCTCTGGCAAGAGTAGAATAAATCAGCTTAAGATGCAGCAAACAAAAAGGAACTTTTAAGTTCTTCTAATGGCAAAACACCTCATAGCATACTAGAAATAGAAGAATTTTAATTTCAGCTTAGCAACTGACTTTAAGGCCAGTTTAGGTCGGGGATTGGAAGCTTCTCACAGGTGGTACCCCATTCTGGGTTCTCTGTCCTCAACTCCGATATAAAACTAATACCCATGTGAACCAGTTCCATGGTTCTGATGACCCTTTGTCGTAAATTTACCACTATGGTTTTATCAAGGCCAGCCACAAAATTCTTCTCTCACTAAACATCAATTTTTTTGTGTTCCATTGAATGTTGTTTTTTTTCCCAGCCTGATGTAGCACCATGCTACAGAGGTAGAAACTGATGTCTCCTCTCAAGGCCAGCCTCTGTGAGCTACTGGTTGATATGAAGTTGTAGATAAGGAAAAGGCTGTATTTCACCCAATGGAAGCATGGGTGTGATTGTGGAGATAAGTGAGCTTTCATAAGACAATCATGATATAGCAGAAAATGTAGGTAACTGTTCTCGAGCAAACTGATAGAGGAGGAGGGAAAAGCTAAGACCATTGAAGCTGATGAAGCCCTAGAGAATGCAAATCTTATTACCTGTGCAATCATGTCAGCAGTCTCAGAGTAACTGCGGCACTTTTTCACAGCTGAACGAGCTAAAAAATCATCTATCAGCCTTACACCAATGCCGTATCCCCTAAGGAAAAAACAAACAAAGTAAACATTCAAAATGGGGAACTTCTTGCCACCTACCGTCTCCCCGATCTGTCTCTTGTGCTTTCTGAGCAAAACAGCTGCATGCTCCTAAATGAACGGCTTTGAGGACAACAGATTTTGCTGGTCTAGATTCCTCTTTCTACCACATTTTGTAGCACAGTGGGATTGCTGTTCATGTAGTCATTTAAGGAATCATACTCCTTTAAGCACGATACTCCTGGCAAGGATGATATGAATGTTGTTTATATACTCATTGTCTATACATACATTTGTACTTACATATATGAATAAATATTAGATGTTAGATGAGTATAATCTATAAATAATATACAAACGATGCACCTGATTAATACTGCTTTGTCACTAAAAATAGGATAAGGTGACATAGCACAGGATTTTCTCCGTTCCTCTGTGATCTCAGAGTTCATCTCATGCTGCCTCTGTCAAGGAGAGCAAAGCAACCGCCCCTTCAGGCCACAGCATTCCCCTCTGGGCTGGTGTGGAGCTCAGCAAATCCTCAGCACCCTCACTGCAGTTTTCAGGTGCCAGGAAAACCCCTAGGAAATGGACTCACACCTGACCTTTTCCACTTTATCCTCTTATCTCTTCACCTCATTTTTCGCTCTTCCTCCGCAATCCCCTCTTCGTCTTTTCTCTAACACGTTCTCTCCCTTCATCTACTAGTTGCAGAAAGAATCCAAAAGTTGCTAGTTAATATACAGTTTCAGTACAACACCACTTTCACTTTGTGTTTAAAACACTACAGTTTCAGAGAAATGAAATTTAAAAAGATGGAAGTCAATGGAATTTTTTGTAAAACACACATTCATTCTTAGCTCACACACATTAACAAAGGTCAGTAACTACATAGTGTGCAAGATAGCTGTGCCTCCAAGTATTTTTTGGAAAAGGG